TAAGAAGTGAAACTGGTTTGAATTAAGATAAAGAAGAAAGTGATAGGATGCAATTGAAGGTAAGAGTAAGTAGGTGAAGGTATGAGAATGTGAAAAGAAGGAGGGAAGGATGAAGAGGGAGAGAGAGAGGAGTGAAGAAGGGAGATGGGTTGAGAAAGAGGTTGGAAGGAGTGAGGAAGGGAAGGAAGGACATGGAAAGGTTTGATAGGAAGAGGTACGAGTGTGAAGAAGATTCAGTAATCTAGGAAAGTGAGTAAAGTAATTAAAGAAGAAGCTAGACAGAGAAGGTGAAAGGAGGAAAGAAAAGAAAAAGGAAAGATTCCAGGAGTAATGAAGCACAATATAGATATTATATGCTTATTTCTATAATTGGTAGCTCTGTTAACTCACGAAGATATGTCTAGTTTGTGTAGATTGTGTGTTTGTTCTTAATTGTAAGGTACTAATGTGTTTTGTATTGTTTAATAATTTGAAGTGTATATAATGTTTTAATGTTTATGATAATAAAATTTATAAATTAAAAAAAAAGAATGAGAGAGGGGGAGGGGCGAAGTCCTACCTAACTAAAGAGGAACAAGAGAATGCAAAATATATTTTTTCCAACAAGTTGGGATTAGCAATTGGATTTAGGCAAGGGATGGGGATCATGCTGCTATCCCAATATTATGCAATTGCAATTCCCAGCATTCTTCACCAGTGTCTGGGAGGGGAGGAAGGTGAAGGAGGGCTTTCCTTCTGTGTCAGGTTTCAGTAGCCTGCCTGTAGAAATACAGCAGGGGTAGGCAACCTTTCCCCTTTAAGGGCCAAGGGACTTCAGCTCCCAGAAACCTCAGCCATGTTGGCCAATAGTCCCATGTTGGCCAATAGCTCCTGGGATTTTGGGAGCTGAAGTACCTCGGCCCTTAAAGGGGAAAGGTTGCCTACCCCTGAAATACAGCGTGAGCTGGGGGGGGGATTGCATTCTGCTGTACCTGCTGCTCCTTTAGCTGTGTGTGTCTGACTCCAATAGGCAAGGTAAACAGTAGCTGCTTCCAGATTCCCATGCTGAGCATGCATGAACAGCAAAAGAGAGAGAAAAGGCGAGAACAAGTTACCAGCTAGCCCCAGCAAGTTAAAAAAACAAAAAGCATAGATCTATAAATTCTGCCACAAAAATGGGGATGATAAGAAAAGTGGAAGAACTTGATAAAGGAAAATGTTGTCCCGAGTGCATTTTGAAAGAAGCCTTCCTTCAAGTGATTGCTGGAAGATTCAAAATGTGTTTGTTTACTGCCTATTTGACCTGATTGTTTCATTCCACACATGTATACTATTCATTTTGAAAAAAATATTGACTGAAATATGCTGAATTGTTTTCTTTTTTCTTATGGAACAGTAACCTATCTCTTTTCTTTCTATGCCATATCAGCCTCTGGTACAAAATACCCTAAAGACATTTAATCCCATCTGATCTCAGAAGCTAAGCAAGGTTATCTCTGTTCCATACTTGGGTGGGAGACTACCAACACATACCAGGTTCTATAGGCTATATTTCAGAGGGAACAGGCAAAACCACCTCTGAGTATTTCTTGCCTCACAAAACCCTATGAAATTCATGATGTTGTCATGAATCAATGGGTGACTTGAAGGCACACACTCACTCACTCACTCTCTTTCACACACAAACTTACTTTTCTGTTAAGGAAATAATGCCCGGGAACATATCTGCTTTGTTAAGTGAGATGTAACTGTAGTGTTTGAGAAGAGTTTATTAATCTTTTAACCATCGTTAAGGAAAACAATTTGTACAATTGTCATTGTACTAATGCCACTTGTTTCAGAAATCAGTGTAAGGCAGCCAACATGGTGTAGTAATCTGAGCATTAGACTATAATTCTGGAGACAAAGGTTCAATTCTCTGCTCAGTTATGGAAATCAACTGGGTGACCTTGGGTAAGACATACACTCTCAGCCACAGAAGCCTCAGGTTCAGCCAACCTGATAGTCCCAAGCCCTTGAGGCCACTCACACAGAACAACATACACACAGAATTCCTGGTGTTTGCATCTGTTCAGTCTCAATCCCTTTTAACCTCTACGTCTGGAGTGTACACAGTCCAACTGGACAAATTGGAATGTCCACACTTCAGGGATCTGCCCACATTCTCCACCAAAAATGTAATGAAGGACTTGAATCTGGGGAATTACTAAAGTCCAAGTCTTCTATGGGATTTTTTATCCTATGTTTATGGAGGTGGCTAAGGAATAGACTGATAGAGAAAAAGCTTTCCAATGAACTAATTTATTTGGGGATTCAAACGTACAAAGACACTCTAACATATAATCATACACACAAGAACTCAGGAATAAAGTAGTTAGCTTGGAGAGGAAACAGAAGGCTTTCTAATGGTGATAATCGCCTGAAGGAGGCTGCTCCAACCAATGAAGGTGGATAGACTCAACCATTATGAAAAGGGAAAAGACAACAGAAAGAACTAGGATTCTAGTCAGAGTTCATAGTGGGGCAGTGTCACCATGAAATCTAGCTAGACCCCAATGTGCCTGAGATTTTGGGGAAAATTTATATCCTTCAACCTAGCCTGAGGTGAAGAGTTGCTATTGTATATCAAAGGATTCCAATTGCTACTCTTTGAAGGAGAGGAAATGGGATGTTAATGTTATCTCATCTTCAGCCACATCCTGGCTGGCACTCATAAATCTGCTGGGTGTGAATGTCCTGCTTCACAGCTTGACCCTTTTGATCTGCAAATTGATGTAAGTGCAGATGTCACCTTTCAAGTGCCTATGTGATGTGCACACCTTGAGCCAATGGTGATAGGGGCTTTTCCAGTCCAGGGCCATGGCAGGGACCCAAAAAGTCTTTATTTCAAATCAGTTATTGTAACACACCAGAAGTCAGAAATAACTTGAAGACACACAACAATAACAGGGGCTACTGTAGATGACTGATTCACAGTTCATAATAGGCAACCAAAAAAAAACCCTCTGTGGATAAAGAATGAGGGGCATGTGTTCTTCTGAATACCATAATTAGTTTCAACTAGGGTAGAGAAGAAAGTGGATTAGAAAAAATCAACTCATTTGAGATGTGCTGCAATAGAAGAGTGCTGAGGATACCATGGACAGCCAAAAAGACAAACAAATGGGTCTTTGAAGAGATCAAGCCTGAACTTTCCCTGGAAGCCAAGATGATTAAATTGAGGTTGTTACACTTTGGCAACATAATGAGAAGGCATTAATAATTGGAAAAGACAATGGTGGTAGGAAAGTTAGAGGGTAGCAGAAATAGAGGAAGACCAAAAGGCAGATGAATAGACTCAATCAAGGTCTAAATCCAGAAGATCTAAGTAGAGCAGTGGAGGGGAGAGGGGTTGGAGATGTCTCATAAACAGGGTCACCATGAGTCAAAGTTGACTTGAGAACAGTCAACAACAACAAAGAACCATTTACCTGCATGTCAACTCATGATTTAACAATTGATTCATTGGAGTTCTGACCTAAGTCAGAGGGGGCAGAAAAGAGCTTTCACAAGTATTCATGTCCTTATTTTCATCTGTGTGACACAGAAAGGTATTGTGAATCAGGTCCTGCTCATCTCTGCTAGCACAGACTTGTCTACCACACTCTTTTATATAGCCAGATTTCACTCATATGTCCTTAAGGTGATCTCCACAACATTCAGTGAGACATCAGTATGCACAGGATAGGAGATGTACAGCCAGATAGCAGATGTACAGTCAGATTTGATAACTAGAGAGAGAGACAGTGTAGTGTTTGTGTTTGTGATTAGAGATGGAAGTTGGGGAAATCCAAGGTCTAGTCCTCACCAAACAAGAGACCTTATTGCATGGCACTTACAGAAAAGGTAATTAAATGGAAAGGAATGGAATGGAACAGGTCGAGAACGCACGTTATTGCATGGGAGAACACCACCGATGCCGCCGGGAGTCCCTGAGCATTCCCTAGCTGTTCCTGGCAGCCGATTTTGAAGAACGTAATCGTTCTTCAAAATTGGCTGCCAGAAACAGCTGAGGAATGGCTTGGGGACTCCTGGCGGCATCAATGGCATTCTCCTTTGCCGTAATGTATGTTCTTGACCTGTTCCATTCTGTTCCGTTCTGTTCTTGTTCCTGTAAGTGCCGTGCGATAAGGTTAAAGGAAACATGCTTGGTGACCTTGGGGCTGCTACTGCCCTCTTTCTCTTTGGGTGGCCTACCTCATAGGGTAATAGAGTGGAGAAAGTAGGGAGGAGCCAGGAACCCCTTGGAGGAAAGGCATGATATAATTGTCACCAGTTAATCAGTCAGACAGTTTTCTCTGAAGATGCTAGCCACAGATGCTGGCGAAACGTCAGAAAGAAACTCTTTCAGAACATGGCCACACAGCCCGAAAAAACCCACAAAAAACAAAAACAAAAGTCAGACAGTTTCTTTAGAAATAAATCCCAGCACCCTGAATTAGACTTGCTCATAGGATGATTGTGTTTTCCATTTCACATAGGACAGTCTTGTGTTTGAAGGGAACATCTATGTTAAAGACAAAGAATTCTAGAGAAGGGAGAGCAGGGATCTTGATATCAGCACTTTCCATCTGGATAGCAATCAGAACAAAAGGAACACAGGTCATCTGGGGCCCTTTCACACTACACAGCTACAGGTCTATGGTTCCTATTTGTCTGCCATGGCAACATCCTGTGGAATCCTTGGATCTGCAATTGCAGATAATATTTAGAAATTTCAGCCAAAGTGCTCTAGTACCTCCCCAAATAACAAAACCTAAGATTCTGTAAAATCAGTCATAGCAGTTAAAGTGAAAGGACCACTGCTCATCTCCCTTTCACACTATGGAAAGTTGTATTGCATTTCTATTCTATTTTATTTCTATTTAAATTACATTGCATTGCATTTATGCATACAAATTGTTGTTGTGGGCCTTCAGGTTGTTTCTGACTATTGTGGTGTTTTCTTGGGCTGAGAATGTGTGACTTGCTCAGTGGGTTTCCATAAACAATGAGAATTGAACCCTGATCTCCAGAGTCATAGTCCAATGTGAAAATCACTACACCATGCTGGCTGTCATTGTTGTGTGCCTTCAAGTCATTTCCAACTTATGGCAACCCTAAGGCAAACCTCACAGGGTTTTCTTGGCACATTTCTTTAGAGGGGGGTTGTCATTGCCATCTTCTGAGGCTGAGAGAGTGTGATTCACCCAAGGTCATCCAGTGGGTTTCCATGGCTGAGCAAGGATTTAAACCTTGGTCTCCAGGTCATAGTCCAGTCCTCAAACCACTATACCACATTGGCACTTCCTGGCTATCCTTACCATATCCAATTTTATGCAAGCCTCCATTTGTGTCATCTTTATTTTGTGTATGTGTGTGTGTACATATGTGATTACGTTACTTCCTAGTAGATAAGTATGCATATTTGGCAGCCCAAGGGTACATTGGCATTCCTTGAGAGGGAATGTACTGGCATGTCTCTCTCCCAGAAGACATTTAATGAATGAGTGTTTAGCCCTCTTGTGTGCCTTAATTACTGCCATAAAGCAGATCTCTGGCCTTGTATATTAGCAGTAGCCATGTGTCTAATGAAGTCTTGGACATCTTGGGAATTTCAAAGACAGGCCCATCCATCCTAAGTACTTGTGTGTGATGTGCATTTATATTCACCTGCTAATGAACTCCACTTTTGACCAGTCTTTACAGCTTGTGTCCTTTGGCAATGCTAGATAAACAAGGTTCCATTTTGATCATCTATCTCTGTCACCCATGCAGGGACTCAAGGTACAGAGGGAACAGTGGAAGTGAAACACAGTTTTTGCATCCTTTTGTAAAGTGAAGATGAAAGCATTCATCAAAATAACCTTAACAGAAGTATAATGTATGGCTCTGCAAGTTGGCTTCTCCGAAACCAGTGATGGCGAACCTATGACACGCGTGTCAGCACTGACACGCATAGCCATTTTTGATGACACATGGCTGCTGAGGCGGCTACATGCCAAGAAGGATGTTTCATCCTCGGCTCCTGCATGGCCAAGTGCAGTAGCCGAGGATGAAACATTTGCTGCTCCTGAGGATGAAACTCTAACTCTAGTATACCTCTAAGACTCTAGTCGCAAATGTTTCAACCTCCCCTATTAGACACTCTGTGACAGAGGTCTGTAGGCCAAAACAACAGAAGTCTAGAGCACAGAGCATCTAGTTTTATATCCTTCAACCTAGCACGGGCAGGGAAGAGGCCCAGGCCCAGGCCGAGGTATTTAGGTCAGTCCCTCCTTCTCCAAGTGGCAAAATAATGATTTTTCCCCAAAGTGAAAAACCACCCGAGTTATGCTCAGTTTCTTGGCAAAGTTTGACACACCAAACTCAAAAGGTTGCCCATCACTGTCCTAAACAGATGTTAAAGGGGAGAAATAGCACTCAACTGGGATCAGCAGGATTGTATCCAGTTTGGAGAAAATGTTGGGTTAACTGCTCTCTGGTTGAACCCTTCCTCTTTCAGAAGTTCCTGGTGGACTTATTTGGTTAAGAGGAAAGAATTCCAAGTGCTGGGCAGCTGCATTTGCCCATCCTTTAGGTTTTCCACAGTGCTCTAGAATGATATGTCAGAACTGATGTATCATTTCTCCAGAAAATGTCTAGAAGAGGTTAATCAAAATGGTAAAAGACCTGGAAAGCAAACCCTATAAGCAATGGTTCAGGGATCTGGCATGTTTAGAATAGAGAAGACAAGACTTAGAGATGAGATTGGAGTCATCTTCAAACATCTGTAGGGTTGTCACATGGAAGATGGAACAGGCTTGTTTTCTGCTGCTTCACAGGGTAAGACCTAAGACTCAAATTACATGAATGGAGGTTTGTTTCAAAAGAACTTCCCACTGGTATGAGTGGTTCAACAATGACACTGGCTGCCTTGGACTCTCCTTCATCAGTGGTTTTTAAACAGAGTTTAAATGGCCACTTGTAAGGGATTCTTTAGCCATAGATTTCCTGCAATGGCAGGAGTTAAATGAGATTATCTGTGAGGTCCCTTCGAACTCTATGGTTCTATGACTCTATGATGTGAGGAAATAAATAAAGGCTAAATCTATTAAGCTGATACACCTTGGAGTGGCAATCCATTTTCTTAGGAAAAGGAGAGTCTGCTGCAGGTTTAAAGAGTGGACTCTTCCAGGGCATTGCTTTGGTCTGACTTGCTGCTCAGAGATTCCCTTGCTTCACCCTGAGGCTGACTGAAGTCAGTTGTTTTTGTTCCCTTTCATAGATCATAGAATCATAGAATTGGAAGAGACCACAAGGGCCATCCAGCCCAACTCCCTGCCATGCAGGAACTCAAAATCAAAGCATCCCCAGCAGATGGCCATCCAGCCTCTGATTAAAGACTGCCAAAGAAGAAGACTCCACCACACTCCAAGAGAGTGTGTTCCACTGTTGAAGATATATAACTAGATTATATCACTATTATCGATGATAGGAAAAGGCTATCACCAACCCTTCTCCTCTAAGTAGTTTTCCAAAGTTTCAGTCCTTGGAATCTCTAGTTATCCTCATTCACTAATTATTTTTTTCATGGAATTAGTAAATTGTGAATCAAATATTGACATTAGTGGGAATTCCAATGTATTTAGGATTAGGACTGGTTAGTGTTAGAGATAGGAGAACTCACTGAGAATTCACTTTTCAATCTCCAAACAGCCAACTAGAATGACAACCAAAATGGTATTGTTACTTCTGCTTGTTGATTACAGATAATTTGAAGGCCTATGAGCTTCTCTGAGAATTTAGGTCTTCATGGGAGGCATTTTTTTCATTTTACCACTCTCAAAGGAATGTCTGGCAGGAATACAGGAGATGGCCTTTTTGGTGACTCCTCTGAGGCTTTGGAACCCCTTCCCTACAGAGGCTAGACTGGATTCCTCTCAGGTGTCCTTCAAGTAGCAGTTGAAGATGTTTTTATTTTGACAGGCCTTTGGGACTGAGTGGATGCACCTCCAGATAACAAAAGAGTCCCTGGAAATCCTTTCTCTTGTTAACTGCCCTCAATTCAGCCCTGGCTCAAGGTGACACTGCGGCTGAGACATCTCCAAGCCCTTCTATGCTCCACTGCTCTGCTTATGTCTTGTAGGTTCATGCCTGTGACCTCTCTGATTGAGTCTATCCATCTACATGTGGTTTTCCTTTCTTTCTACTGCCCTCCTTGTTGTCTTTCTGAGTGAGTCATTCCTTCTCATGATGTGGTCAAAGTATGACAGCCTCAGTTTTGTCATCTTGGCTTCTAGGGAGAGTTCTGGTTTGAACTGTTCTAGGACTTATTTGTTTGTTATTTTGGATGTCTATGGTATTCGCAGCACTCTTCTCCAGCACCACATCTCAAATGAGTTGATTTTTTTTCTTATCTGCTTTTTTCTCTGTCAGCTGTTCTTGTATAAATCAATTTTATTTTAGAGATCCCCATTTTCTTCACTCCAAAGTACCTCCTGAGAGCTCCTGTAATTACCAAGGATAATCTTCAAATAATCCTCAGGTCAATGTAAATTAACCCAGTACATTCCAAAATGAAGTGTATCTGTACAGTTTAAATCAACCTTATACCTTCCAAAATGAAGAGCTTGGATTCTTTTGGGAACCAGCAGAGATGGCTGCAGCCAAATACACAAAGCTATTGTTTCCAGGACACAGATTCAATACAGTTCAAGTGAGGTAAAGAGGAACATGAGCAGTAAAACAAAAGGATCTTAATGTTTATAGTTCCTATAGTTTAGCTACTATATTATTGCTAAAGCACTTCAGCACTTTGGCTGTAACTCTTGAACTTTTTTTTTTTTAAAGCTCACTAGAAATTGGTGAAAATCAATTCTGAAATGTTGCATGAGATTGGATATGAAATATGATCAGTGGGAGGAGGGAGGAGAAGGAGGGAGCGAAGGGAGGGAAGAAACCCATGATATTTCAAGAAAGAGTCAGGAAACAAAACCACAAATATGTAGATACAATCAGAACAAAAAGTCCTGGAAAATCTTGACACTTACTGAAATGTTTTACCCATCTGGAGGCACCCTGATAAGGGATAAAATATATATATAGAATCATGAAAGAGGGGAAAAATGAGAAAGGGGCTTTTCAGGGGTCTGAAAAGCTTCCTCTCACATTCCTTTCTTGGTCGCTCCCTCCAAGTCCTCAAGCAGACATGTCTCGGTGTTCTTGAGCAAGTGGGTTCAGGAGAGCTAAGAAAGGATTCTGAAAGGCTATAGCCTTCCAGATCCTCAGTTGCCTCCCACCACCACCATCCCGATATCAAACATGGGCAGACACAGGGAAAATACTTACACATGTGTGTGCACCCCACCCACCAGAGTAATCATACGGAGATTATATTAATCCTATTGTAATGTTCTTTTAGTTTACACTGTTAAATGAAACTGATGTGAAAGCAGGAAAGAATGTTAGTAGTGCATAGCTTCTGTGAAACGGCATCATGCCTTCACAATGCTGCCCCAATTGTGTTGCAGAGGGGAGGGATAGAAATAAATTTTATTATTATTTTATTATTATTACAACTGCCTATTATTATAGTGTGAGTGACTGGAATCCTGTTGGTGTCTTGGTCGGTATGTGTGTGTGTCTTCAAATTGTTTCCAGCTTACAGCAACCCTAAGGTGAAACTATCACAGGGTTTTCTTGGCAAGATTTGTTCAGAGGAGCCTTGCTTTTGCCTTCCTCTGAGGCTAAGAGAATATGGTTTGCCCAAGGTCAACCAATGGGCTCCCATGACCAAGCTGGGATTTGAACCCTGGTCTCTGGAATCCTAGTCCAAAACTTAAACCACTAGCCCATGCTGGCTCTCATTGGTGTTTTACCCATGAGTATGTTCCCTATAGAAGTAGTTGGAGCATTTTTGTCCAATGAGGAATGTCCCTATTGAGATCAAGTTGGCAGAAGTGGAGTCACACATGTGGTGCCATTACACATGTGCAATTGGGTGTGCAGTCGATTGCACATTCAAGTCTGTATTTGGTTGTGCAGTGTTGATATTCAGCATTGGGTAGCACAATGGATAAGTAATTGGGTGTACCTGGATATAATTAATTTCAGATGTTTATGACACACCCTTCTCTGAACAAATATTGCCAAGAAAACCACATAATCAGGTTGCCTTAGTGTCAGCATAAGTCAGAAATGACTTGAAGACGCACAAAATGCACACACAATGTCGGTTCTCAGTCCATGATTACAACCTCTCCTCTTGTGAGTCTTCCTTTCTTCTTTTCCTTTGGTTAAGCAGAGAGAAAATCAACAGCTACATAAGGTTCAAGTGGCTTGCAGCCTGGGTCTTCTTAAGAAAAAAAGGTCTCAAATCCTCCCACCACTTGCAAACTCCTAGCTTTAGTAATCATTAGAAGTGGCTCACTGAAGACCTTTCTTGCTATTCAGCTCATCAAGCTGATATGGTTAGAGAGAACATATTGCTTTAGAAACCAAAGCATTAGCTCAACAAAGAGAATTTTGCCTTTGATATATATTTAAACATGTGTGCAAATCAGTGCTGTGACAAAATTTGCTCTCTTGTCTCACCCACGCACACAGGGGGCAGGATTAGAGCTAATCGGCTTAAGTTTTAGGAGGATAGTTTGCACTTGAACTCTTGGAGAAACATTTCAGTCATGACACCACTTCAACAATGGGACCAGTTCACTAGAGCATTGATAGACTGGGGTGCTGTGGTAGAGAATGTTGATATGCTGGTGCTCATCATGATGATTCCCTATTGCAATGCCTTTAAAGGGAGTTGGCCCTCCACATTTGCAGCTTTGACTTATGGATTTGATTATTCACAGATTTAATTAACATTTTCTCTCTAGGAATCTCCAGGGCCTCTATCATGACTCCGTTGACAACTTCTGCCAAAAATCACACCTAGAGATTCCTAGAGAGAACATTTCTCTGGTCATTTGTAGGGCCTCCAGCTCAATGTCATGGTCAACCTCCAGCAGATCTTGACCTCAGAATTGCCCCGGGGGACCTAGAGAATCTAAATTGGTTTCCTAGACTTTTTAAAGATTTCTAGACTTTTTAAAGATTGAAAGTCACTCTGTTACTTTAGGAACATAAAATATGACTATGTACAATTTAATTTGGCATACAATTATCACAATTGGTATATTAAAATAGAGTGTATTCAAGCAATTATTGTGCATGGAATTTACTTGTATTTTTTAATTTTGATTGTTTTGTGTGTCTTATATGGAGCAGGTAAAACAATACAAAAATCAAAAACCAGAAGAAATCATCAACATTAGTAAAAAATATTATTTTTAATTCCTCTCCACAATATCAAATAGACATAAAGTACCCATTCCCTTAAAAAGAACGGGGGGGAGTGTGTGGAAGGGGGGGACTGAGGGGCTCTACAGAAGGCCCCTAAGGGAAGGTTCTGTGTCATCCCTGGGAGTGCCGGATTGCAACCATACAACCACAAACCGCCACCCTGATCTGGCACTTTGCCATTCCAAAAAGAGCTGGCAAATGTCACTCCTTTTTGGAGCATCAAAAAGCCACCCTTGCCACCACAGGGATGGCTTTTCTGCACTCCCAGGCTGGCTCTTTTGGCCGGTGTGTACTGGCCCTAAGATTCAATTAATAGGCATGAAATTTAATCAGATTAATTTCCCAAGCTCTGGGCTGCATTCGCACTGCAGAAATCATAGAATCATAGAATCATAAAGTTAGAAGAGACCACAAGGGCCATCCAGTCCAACCCCCTGCAATGCAGGAACTCAAAATCAAAGCATCCCCGACAGATGGCCATCCAGGCTCTGTTTAAAGTCCTCCAAGGAAAGAGACTCCGCCACAATCTGAGGGAGTGTGTTCCACTGCCAAACAGCCCTTACTGTCAGGAAGTGCCTCCTAATGTTGAGATGGACTCTCTTTTCCTGTCGTTTGCATCCATTGTTCCAGGTCCTGTTCTCTGGAGCAGCAGAAAACAAGCTAGCTCTCTCCTCAATATGAAAACCCTTCAAATGTTTAAAGAGGGCTATTTTATCCCCTCTTTACCATCTCTTCTCCAGGCTAAATATACCCAATTCCCTAAGTTGTTCCTCATAGGGCTTGGTTTCCAGACCCTTCACCATTTTAGTCACCCTCCTCTAGGCACACTCCAGTTTTTCAACATCCTTTTTGAATAGTGGTGCCCAGAACTGGACACAGTAATCTAGGTGGGGCCTGACCAAAGCAGAATACAGTGGCACTATTACCTCCAGTTTGACACCAAAACTAGTTTCATCCACAACTAACACACTTTAACTGTCATGGCTTAATACTAGGGGATCCTGGGAATTGTAGTTTGCACCAGAACTCTCTGACACAGAAGGCTAAATGTCTCATAAAACTACAAATCTGATAATTCCATAGCACAGAGCCATGGCAGTTAAAATGGTGTCAAACTGCATTATTTCTGCAGTGTAGATGCAGTCCTGGTTATCAGTATCAGTTTCAGTCTCTGCTCCTTCTTTGCTATGTTTGTCATCATCACAGTTATCATGGACTTCTACAAACCAAAGGTGTACCCAGATTAAAAGAAGCTTCTTTACCCTTTCACATGTCAGTTTATTTCTTGATTTACTGTGAGTGTTTCCAAATGTAGACCAGATTCTTTCAGTTCATCTTGCTCTTACATTGGAGAGTTCAGTTGTAACCTCGGACTTGCTTGTCCTCATTCAGTGTACAGAAATTAGAATAATCTGATCCTATACATAGTTTTTAGAAATTATTTGGAGAATATATGAACACCTTGTCTTAAAGATTTTATTCATTATGCTAAAATAAAACATTCCATAATTGATTTTCTTCCTTTTTTCAGTTTTTCCAGTTGAATCGTTTGTCCCCTGAATTTTTCTCCTTTTTTCAGTTTTTCCAGTTGAATCGTTTGTCCCCTGAATTTTTCTGGGTTTTTTTTCCCAGGCTTTCCCATCTTTATCTGTGCCCCTAACTCCAGTGAATATGGAGGGTCTATAACAGGTCCACTGTATGCTGACTCATACCATCACACCAGTTCTAGCCATTGTCATTGTCATCACGTGCAGGTTTTCTTTACAGTTGATGGCTCTTAGTTATCAATTGAAGACCAAATTAACCACAGTGTTTTGCTGGGAAGATCCATTTCAGAGGGAACAGAGGATCAGTGTGTGTGTATGTGCATTGCAGTGTCAGATTCCCCACCTCTCTTTGCTGTGACATCAAGTGAATGTGCCTGCTATTATTTCTCTCATGGAACCCATTTCACAGCTTTCCTTCAAGCCATGGATGGTGTTAACAAATGAACTGCAGGTATGAACAGGAAACCCTGTCCTTGTCTCTTATATTCAGTTTTTTAAAGAACTGAAGTTCTTTCCAACCTGGATGTGAAGAAATCTGGAAAATTCTTTGAAATTTTGAAAATTCCTTGAAAATAAACTGAAATTATTATTATTATTATTATTATTATTATTATTATTATTATTATTACTACTACTACTACTACTACTATTATTTTATATCCCACCTTTCTTCCAATATAGGGACTCAAGGCAGTGAACAACACATTTAAAACAATACAATTTAATAACAGTCCAGACAGTAAAATGTATAAATATAAAATTTAAAAAACAATTAAACCAGTTTAAAAGTTAAAACAGTTATGAGCTAAAATAGAATATTACAATACAAACCTTAAAATTTTAAATAGTACAACAATCTCAGATTTTATCAATTTGAAAAGGCCTTCCCACACAAGAACCATCTGCCAGAAAGAAGTCAGGGATCAAGCCATCCTAGCCTCTCTAGGCAGGGAGTTCCAGAGCTTGGGAGCAGCCACTGAGGACGTTATCACACTGGGGTCTCAAAGCGGCAAGAAAGTGGAATGGAATCAATCCAGAACCATACCGGAATGGACCCGGCAAGACAGAAATCGTTATCAGACGCAACTGGAATCATTGCGGAATTGACGATGCCGCGATGGTTCCGCTCCGGGGACCCGTATCTCCTGTTCACACACAAGTGAAAAGATCCCTTCCACAATCCTAAAATATTAGAGAGGACCATCATGTTTACCCGTTCTGGGTTGCCCGATCCAAACAGGAAGCACACCTCATAAGATGCTTCCATGGGAAAAGTGCGGGGAACCATGGGCTAAGACGAGGAAATGCTCCACGATACGGATCGCGTGTTCAGACATACGGTGAAAGCAGCATCATTCTGGCATCATTCCGGTCGCAAGAGTGTAATTCCTCAAGATACCCGGAATTCAAAAGAACTGGAATGATATTGGAATGATGCAGGGATGATGCAGGGATGGGCAGGGTTATGTGCGACGTCGTGTGAACACACGGAAAAAAGAACCGGAATGGTGCAGGAATTATGCAGGATTCTTTCTGCTTTAAGGCCAGTGTGATAACGTCCTGAGAAGGCCCTCTCTCTCATTCCCACCAAACATGCTTGAGAGGTTGGTGGGACAGAGAGAAGGGCTTTTCCGGATGATCTCAATACTTTGGGGGGCTCATACAGGAAGATATGGTTCTTCAAATAGCCTGGACCCAAGCTGTATAGGGCTTTATGGGTCAAATCCAGCACTTTGAATTGCGCCCGGAAATGAGCTGACAGCCAATGGAGCTTTTGCAACAAGGGAGTTGTATGCTCCCTGTAGCCTGCTCTGGTTAACAGCCTGCAGCTCTTTGGACCAGCTGAAGTTTCTGAGCACTTTTCAAAGGCAGTCCCAAGTAGAGTGCATTACAATAATCCAGATGGGATGTAACCAAGGCATGTACCACCATGGCCAGATCTGACTTATCCAGAAATGGGCACAGTTG